ATCAAAGATACCCCAAAACCCCAAAACCCCAAAACCCCAAAACCCCAATTGGGTTCTTTCATATTGAATTAACGATTACATGGGTACTCTCCAAGAATCTCTTCTAATGTGCTGTCAATGAAGGTTAGTGCAGGCTTCTTACAGTTGGTTGTAGGCTGAGTATCTGCTAAATGATTTTGTAAAGTATCACATAGCTCAAAATTAAAAATATCTGCTTCTTTTCTCTTTTTATCCCCTTGTATATAGTTATTTCTGGACATCTTTGTCTTCATATTGTCTAAAACTTAGTGGAGAAAATATACCTTGAACAGTCTTCGAAAGTTCATAGAAGAAATTAGTATCTTTTCTAGAAGGTTTTGAAGACTTAGCTCATCCCGGCTTCGTTTCTGGAGCAACATCATTCAGATAGTTATACAGCTGCTTTGAGGTATCTTTGATATTATCCTTTATATTGGTTTAGGAATAACTTTCTCAAGTTTAATATTTGAATTTGCAAAAACACTCTTCAATTCTTTCTATATAATTATTAATTCTACTTAAAGAGCAAATTTGGTGAATAATTCAAAGTGTTTAAAAAGTCTGGTTTAGATAAATATATCCCTGCTTCTCTACGAAAGCTGTCTAATAGTATGGGTTAGCTGATGTACTAATCGATTCATGCCTCAAAATTGGAGGAAGAGCCCTAAAGGCCCATAACATAACTTCTCAGTGCTTTAGTACCTTTGTATAAATAATTAATTTAGATCTATTTGTGAATGGTGAATTTTTAACCAAAATTTAGATTTTTTACTCTCTAAAATTATTGAAATTTTCGTATGATAAAGTGATAAAATCTCCTTGCATTATGACTCTTTTTACCAAGCCAGGTTTGATAAAAATAAGCGAATTTGAGATTAGGAACTCAGATAAACTATTGCAAAAAGGGGTCTTAATTTCCATAATTATCGATCAATAATGATCTTAAAACTTTTTCAGAGCCAAACAATCTATTTCTTTTGAACTATGTTCATTGTTCAAGGTTCGCTGGCTCATAATTTTTAACAAGGGGAGCTCAAGAATCTAGTGCTATGAGGGTTCCAGAAAGAGCCTTCTACCCTAATGAATAAAAGATATCAAGGAAAGTAAGCATTTAGCTTATCTCTAAAGAGATTTTTTACGTCTATGTATTCTTTTAGAGTGACTTTCTAATTTTTAGAGTTATATACCAAATAGAGAGATTTTAATACAGAGTTTTACTCTTTATGGGTTCTGAAATTAAATCCGGATTAGTGGTAAATTTTTATGAACATTTCTTAAAAATAACAATAAATTTACTCTCTAGACAGTTATATTAATGGGAAGTTACTTTATATAAAGGAATATATTTAACAGTTTCGTTAATAAAAACCTGCAAATTTTAGACCTAACCTTGGTTGACATCATTATTTTGATATTTAAAAATATTTAGCTTAAGCAAAATTTTTTAATATTTATCTGAGGTTTCAAACGATAGCCATAACTCTAATAATCAGTCCCTAAATATGCTTCTTTCTATTTGTCTCCTTTGCTAATAACTTCTATTTCCAATTCCAGTATACATAAGCCTATCGATGAAATAATTGCAAGGCATAGAAATTTAGAAACATCACTGTTCTTGTACTACGGAAGTCCAGGGACCAAGGCTTCATATAGGAGCTAAGCGTTACTAACTAAGGAGGTAGCATAAGACATAGAGAGTAAACCAACAATATTTTCGCAACGATAGAGCTTAATTAAGTTGATTAAAATACGCTATAATGCTTTATATAGCCCTTTTCCATTGTATTAACTTTATTAATTTTTATGCACTAGTGATCAATAAGAAATATTCAGCTAGTCAAATAAAGTTGGAAAATTTAGCTCTACTTTTGGCATTTTAGCTCATATCTTAAACATCTTTGCTGATGATAGAAGCCAGGTGTCACCAGAGGTAGATTTAGGTAGTGTTGACAGAATAGGAGGCTCAGCAGCCATACTTGGTTGGATCAATAGAAGGTAGGTTTAGAATCGACACTTACCTCTTCTTTATCTTCTGAAGAATATATTGAATTTTCATATCGAGAACCGCTCTGAAGAGGTCAGTCTTTAGTAAACACCTCATACTTCGCAGGTGACACACGTGATAGTTTTTTATTTAGGAGTAAAAATATTTCTCTTGGCAGGCGAAAATATGCTGAATTTTGTATTCAGTCCTGGGCTAGCAAATCGGTTCTATATTATGTTTAGATGTCAAAGTTTTTACTTATTAATAAAATAAAAGTTAACTCTGTGTATCTAGTATTTCGCTAATTTGGAGAAAGAAGTAATTTATCTTTAAACTATGTCAGAAATTTTGAATAGACAAAATAGATGGTTTATATAGTTAATAATAGATGAACAAATGTTAAAATGATTTTGATCAAAGCCATCAACTTTTATCAAAGAAATAATTACTTCGCACCCGATGAAGTTTTCTTAAAATTTCTATGAAGGTATTTTTGAAGTTTCTAAACTCTAGCTAATAGAGCAGCTTCTATGGGGATATGTTAACAAAATTTGTCCAAAATTGGATCTTGGTGTTATAGTTTTGGTGCTGTCTATACATAGCTCATAAATTAGGTTTATCAAATATGAGATCAATTTACTGGCAATATTTCGAACTCCTATTTATATCGAGGCTTCTATTAAAGTAAATTTCCCCTAAGAGTAACGGAAAAGGGAAAATCAATTTGAGATGAACTCTGGGCATCTCTTATTATGCATTGGAAGGAACTAGAAGCTTAAGAAATCGATCGCTTATCTTAAGTTATGGCTATGAGCAGAATCAAATAAATTTATTTGCGATAAGCCAGCTAAGTTAATTACTCGATTATCTAAGCATGTTGGACTAAAGCAATAAGGCTCACATCTCCTTCTGATCTGGATAATTTCGAAGAAAGCAGGAGGGAAACGGTTAATATTTTATGAAGGGCTTATCTTGGTTTAATAACTCTAATAATAACAAATTTTAAAATGCAGCAGTATGCAATTGGTCTATCGAAAATTTCTAAAACACCTCTCCAAAACTTATGCCATTAGTCTTAAACCTCGCTTTATAGAACACATACTATAGAATAAGGCTCAGATGTTTAGTAAAGGAGAATCAGAGAAGACAGAGCAACACTAAAAGGCCTATTGAAAATTTGAGAAGTTTAGAACAACCCTAATTCATGAAAGTTCGCACAGAGACCCTCTACCAGTCTTTAATAGTAATTAAGGAGCTGTTAGTTTAAAGCAGCAAGCTGGGGTTTAGAGAAGGTTAAATATTTATCCAATAGGCTTTAGTTAAGAAATGATTTAATAAAAATTAAGATATCTAGAGTTGATTGATCTACATAAGTGACAATAAGAATCTCCTGTGATTTTATCAAAATTTGGTATGGTTAATGCTTGATACAAACAATTAATCTACTGATTCTTTCTAAAGAAAGATTGTGAATAATCTGCATGAGTGTTCATTATGTCTTAATCCCAAAAAATTGACTAAAAAGCTCTTAAATTTCCTCTAAATCTCAGTTTGGTCTCTAAAACTAAAAACCACTTGACTACTATTAAAGATGTTCCTAGGGTCTTCATGCGAACTGTATAAATTATGACTGTTGCAAAATTCTCAAGAATGCTATGAGCCCCCATAGTATTTCTCTGCCTAAGAATTCTTATGTCAAGCAGATCAGCTTACAAATTATAAATAGGGTTGCATAACCGAAAGTTATTGCACATATTTCAACTGGGAGATAAATAAGCAATAAAGTGTGAGGATTTCTATCAAGCCTTATTCACTTCTAATGTACCGATGAAATCTAAGATGAGAGTGGAAAAGACGATTAGAACTCACTTTCAAATTATCTACTCCAGAGTTTGTAAAGATTTGGGGTAAGTTTAGGATTATGAACGACTTAAGCTATAGATTTTAGCATCTGCTAAAAATTACTAGTTATGACTATAAACATGGTCTCTTACCTTCTGTCTAGTTGGGAATTTCAATAGATGAATGTTTTTGTGTACAAACATGCGTTTAGGGGTAGGGCTAACATGGGAAGGTCTATTAATAGCCCTCCGTGTTCTCATTACCCTAGACTTATTGGGGTTTGCTCTGTTATTACTCAGTGCAACCCATCTGTTCATCTTCATTGTTGGCCTTGGGGAGTTAGCCTGTTTAGAAATACTCTTCTACAATATAATCAGTTGTTTACATCTCTATGATACTCCAGTCTGAAATCATTATTCTTCTTGAATTTTCTATTAGTCTGCTTTCTAAAAGTAAATTTTAGAGGAAATAAGCCCATATAACTTGGAAAATAAAATTGAGACTTCTCATACAATTTTATGGTATTCGGAGGCTTCACAAATTTCTTCTTCTCAGGCAACTTGCTGAATGTAGTTTGAAGTCCTCTAGTAAGGTTAGGGAGATTCATTTTTTGAGCTTGCACATTGCGTCTCTTCTCAACTCCTTGTATACTTGCCATATTTACAATAAATTTTCAACTTTTGTGAAAATTTTGGGGTTTTGGGGTTTTGGGGTTTTGGGGTTTTGGGG